AATTCATAACGATTTACCTAATCGTTATGAAGCTGCTCAAGTGTCAACATGTACCGAACAAACAAACATTCACATTTATAATATTTAAAAAGATAAGGGAGCGGGTACTATTCATTAAATCCATAACTCGCAGGTACGGGTAGACTTATCAAGAAAACTTGTGCCTAGTTACTGTTTAATATACAGTATATTTCAACGTACTATTGAATCCATATAGACAGCAGACAGACTCGACCTTCAGGCTTATTAACCTGCTGAGGGGTAATTATAGACACGTTAAAACAAAATAAAATAAATAAGTAAAACATTTTGTTCATTTGACTTCGTAGAAATATAATTGATGATAAAAGTTTTATCATAGTAACTATATAAAACTTTAAATGATCGAATAAAATCATAAAATGTGGACTGTAAAAGATAAGAAAGTCTAGCGACTTGTTTATTTCGTGTGTGCTGTAGTGAACTCATCAATAATTAGTTCAAACAGAACTCGTAGTCTTGAAAGTTCCGTATGATCACAGATTAAATTTAAAAAAAGAATTTTCTAAAACAATAAATAATAATTTTGCTTTTAAATATTATTTATTTTTTGTACCACAAGTACTTGGGAAGTACCTACTTTACATCCCGAATAAGCCGACAGCCCACATGTGGGTCACCAGAGGGAGACTTTGTACAAAAGTCGATTGCTTGGGTACCTCTGTCCTATTCGTGTTTCTACCGTGAAGCAGTTGTGTTTGCATGGCTGTGTTTCGATTTGAAGGGTGGGATATGGCGTAAATTTACAGAGTACAGAGGAATAGCATCTGAGTCCTCAGGAATGGCAACGCATAGGGGGTATCTTGGGCGAAACAGTATACTCTGTTAAGTCCATGGTACTTCTCATGTCTATAGGCGACGGTTACCACTCTCGATCAGGTGGGTGGTCAGCTTGTTTGCTATTCTAAGTTGTATAAAAAAAAATGTGGGAAGTTGTAACTACCACATACAGACATGAATGACACCACGAATATAACATTAGACCGCCTGCCATGACTTTTTCTACTCAATATATTTACACTCAACTATTTTTATTGTGATATAATACATAAAAATAAAGACTTATTATATATCCGTACCTACTCGTACTAGTTTTTTGCCCGCTACTGCGTACGCGTGTATTTCATAAGGAGGAAAATCAATTAATTAGACAATTTCTAGATGCTATATCAAAATGAAACATACAGCAGATTTTAAATAATACCTTTAGAAATACAAACAAGAAAACTACATCCAATTTGGTGCAGTAGTTTTATATAATATTAAGTATTGGTTTTGGCTTCTATTGCCCTTATTAGGATCTCTCTTATATTTTTTCTTAAATATCTCCAATGTACAGACATCATCTAGTCTAACTATTCACTGCTGAACGTAAGTCTCCCCCTAGGAGGTTTTGCCAATAGTTGCTACGCTTGGCAGGCGAATTAGCAACCGCAGTTAGGCTTTGGAGATATTTGAAGAGGAACGCTGCTGCCCATCCCTAGCCCTCCCTTAGTCGCCTCTTATGACACCCAGAGGAAAGGAAGTGGTGGCCTATTCTATGCCGGGACCACACGGTCGACTTGTTATATTAATAGGATAAGACATTTGTTATAGACTGTCAGATCATAACAGATATTTATATCCTAACTTTAAACATGGTGCCTGTATACTTTAAAAGCTTACTATCTAAAAGGTATTAAAATAATTTCGTTAATGTCACTTCAGAATCTATCACAATAGATTATTTCTGTAAGAGCTGAGAGCTATCGACATTCAACTTCTTTATAAACGAAAATGACCGGCATTGAAATTAACAGTATGCTCGTTCTGTATCTTGTTACCTTATCTGTAAGGGCTCTTTTAAATTAAATTTATATACGAATAAATCTTCTAGAGGTTATTTAGGACGAGAAAATTATAGGCTTCTTAAATACCAGATAGATTAGAAAGTAATTTATTTGTTTTAAAATCCACGCAAAAAAAAAGTAAGTTGGTACTTCTCTTTGTCAAAACTTAAACAGAAAAGATTAAATCAGATTAAATAACAAAGGCTTCTACGAGCGTTGTTTTATCAATATTTTTATTTATAGAATAACGTTATAACTTTATTTGTCATATTGAAAAATATATGAATTTTCTCTAATGTAGAAACACAAACTGCATAATCATATATATATATATATATATATATATATATATATATATATATATATATATACAGATTATAAAATATAAAATGAAAGTTGTTAGATGCATAAAAATACTGTATAAAGTGGATAGTGTTTGGAAAAAAGAAATGTTGTTTACGAAAACTTTTTTGTGTTCTTGAAACTCTTTTTTGATTCGCAAATTACGCAATACTATTAAAAAAAATTGTAAAGGATAAATTCGTCGAAGAACGACATTGTAGATAAATATCAACACTGAGGAATTATTTACATAAACAACATTTTTCAACAATCTTTTTTCCAAATAAACTTAGTATAAACAGTATAAATAAAATATTATATGTATTAACTTATTTATTATGTAATAAGAATTAGAATATTAATTGATATAATAAAATTAATTATATTCTGCAGGTACATAGATACACGGGCGATATGAAATCGATAGCAGGGAAGCTTAATTTAGAACTTTGCCAAAGAGTCTCGCAAACGTTCATTTTACATTCTTCCTTTTCCTCATATTATGCTTTTTATTTATATTGACTTACTTCATATTTAATGTACAAGTACCTCAAAGGGTTACCCCCTTGAAGTACCCACTTGTCATTTAATACAGAATCAAGAAATATATTAAATAATATTCGTAATTTCGCCCAAATGGTATTCTGCTCGAATAAATTTCCAAAAAAATTCAAATTCCTTTCCCGTGGGTTTCGTAAGAGGCGACTAAGAGAACTTAATGGTCGAGGAATGGACAGCGACGTCCCTCTTAAAACGTCACCAATGCCTAACTGCTATTATCAGCCCGCCTGTCAAGCATGGGAACTACTGGCAAAATCCCCTAAAGGATTATGTTAACACCTGTTATGATGGTGATTATTATTTAAACGCTTTTCTTAATCACAGGCATCAAAAAGATCACAAAAATTTATTCGATTATCTACAGAAAAAGAAAATATGCCTACCTATATATATTTTTTTTAAATAATGCAAGTTTAGGAAGATTCGTACTAATACCTTACAAAACGGAAATTCATGAATAATTCGCCTCAGCATTTCGTGTCTTCTCCTGTAGTACCTTTTTAAAATGACATTAATTACTGAATAAACTCTGAAATGTCAACGGTAAAAACGTTCTTAATGCTTACCGTGTTATCTAAACAGTTATATACTTTAATAATAGTAGAAACAGCGCACTCTGTAATAAAAGTTGTCAATTAACGATTAATAAGTTGTTATTGATATAAATTGGCTCATTGGTAGAATTATTATTGTATAGACAGTTTATAGACTTTAATAATTGAAAAAATCCCATTGTCGGTATCTTCAAATTCGCAAGATTACTACAGTTATATGCTATGGTTTTTTTTATAATATTGAACCCAAATAAAGATTCCGTTTGTGCTCGCTAACTTTGTAAAAATAAACTTTGTAAAACTTAATATAAAATTATGAGGGGAGGGATTGTTAGTAATGCGGACTACCAGTGCCATTGCTAGTAATATCTGTCAGGTCGACCTCCACGTGGTCCCCCCTGGAAACCATCATCCTGAATTCCAAGTGTATTCATCACAATGGACTAACTGGCCATTTCATTCTCACCAATCATCCCTCACTGGTGCACCGCCAGCGAATACCATTAGCGCAGGCGGAGTTACCATTCCATTGTCATCCATTAAAAATATACAATATTATTACAACATTTTATTTACCACAAAATAAACTATCAATATGCATGTTTAATCCGCAGAGACTCCAAATTAGGCATGGAAATTATTCCTACATTTAATTCATTATAATTTTTTTAATTATTATTTTATTCACAGTGATAAATCACAAAAAGTGATTTTGCTCGCAATTATTTAATGTCGCTTTTGCTTTAAAATTTGCTATAAAAAATAAAATGAATAATTATATCCATGATCATAGTGAGCGAATAAACACTTTAATGCAGGGTAATAAAGTCTCTATTCGTTTGCTCTATATGGCCTAGTCGACGGTATAATGCGATATCACTTAACTGCTAAGTTAACCGAGCACAGTTAATGACTCACGAATAAATCCGGACGCAGCGACTTCATTTAGTGTGAAATTATAATATGATATTTCACTTGTGTTTTTCATATTACACTATTATTGTACACTATTTGCTATGAATATTCCAAACCTACTCTAAATCCCAAAGCTTGGAGGTTGTAATTAACATAAATGTCTTATTAATCTTCTATCTATACTTATAATAAATCTATAGAGAGGTAATTCTGTACATGAAATATATTTCCAAAATAACTATCAGGGGGTGATTAGTGATCGATACTGATACCAAAAATGCAATTAGTAAAATTTTTGTCTGTCTGCCTGTATGTTCGTTATAGAAACAAAAACTACTCGACGGATTTTAACGAAACTTGATACAATTATTCTTCATACTCCTGGGCAGGTTATAGTATACTTTTCATCACGCTACGATCAATAAGAGCAGAGCAGTGAAGGGAAATATGTCTGTTACATCAAAACCACTGAAGGAAGGACAGGCTACTTATTTTACGAAAAACGACGGAAACGCGGACGAAGTCTCTGGCAAAAGCTAGTATTTAATATAAATATATCTATAGTGGAAGTACTTTTGTCTACTGTTACCATGATGGTATACCTTAACAGTTTCCACGCTCACTTTTTAATAGCGTATTCAAATTTATCATGGATCTTGAATTCATTAACCTTGCGAATGATATTTGTTTTGATAGAAATGACAATTATCTACATTTCAAGACACTTTCATATTGATATCTTAATTTTTCTTTGTTCCAGGCAAAATCCATCGGAATCGTCGTTCCTCAAGACAATATGTCATCAATACGTACTTGTTTACAAGTAATGAATTAGCAATTTAAATGTTATTAGTGTCGAGTGTCTATAGACTGTAAAAATGAATGTAGATGAGAAAATCTCGGGCCCCGGTGGGGCGTCGCAAAAAAATTGGACACATTTGAACACTAGCTATGATGAGTTACCATTGGACATGCGGTTTAACCATGGTCACATGGTGTCTATAACAGTGTACAGTGTGTTAATGGTGATCTCCGCCACAGGGAACTTGACAGTGCTATCACAATTAGTTAAAAGACGTAAAGCGGGCCGCGCGAGCAGGCTCGACATACTGCTAATGCATTTAGCTGTGGCTGATCTTATGGTAAGATTTTATTTATTATAATACTAGCTGTATACCGCGACTTCATCCACGTGAGTTAGTATATGAAGTACCTTACCATTTTCCATCTGTGAGCCGTCAGCTTGTTTGCCATTCTAATTGCATAAAAAAAAATTAAAAAAAAAAAACCTTATGTATTAAGTTAAGATGTAACCTACACGTGCACTAAATTTCATTAAAATCCGTTTAATAGTTTTTGCGTGAAAGAGTAATAAACTTCTGTCCATTCATCCATCTATCCATCGTTACAAACTTTCGCATTTATTACATTAATAGGATTTTACACCTTTTCCTCAAGTTCGATTATATAGTGAAATCTACATGAAGTTATGCAAGTGTCATGAAAATTTATGTAAGTTTCATTAGCTATCCAATTATGGAAGAAAATTTCCAATATTACATAATCATACCAAAATGGGAATATAAAAAAAAAAATATTAGGATAATTGGGTCTGCCTTATTTGGGTAAGCCTTATTTGTGATAATAGGCTTGAGCGCAGCTTAAGGATAATCTTATTCTATTATATGAGTTGCATGACACAAACAAGTCTATGTGATGATGTGAGAGTATAATGTGTCACTATTTATTTTGTATCTATTTTTTTTATGCATCTTAGAATGGTAGGCAAGCTGATGGCCCACTTGATGGAAAATGGTAACTATCGCCTATTGACATGAGCAGTACCATGGACATAACTAATATATATCATATAACATAATAAGTGTACTGTTTCGCCAATGTTACCCCCCGTGGTTGAAACACGAATGGGATAGAGGTACCCAAGTAAAGGACTTTTATACAAAGTCTCCCTCTGGTATCTATTATATTATAGTAGAGCGTTCATATCAAGATAAAAATATATTTAATCGTTTAAACATAGCTAGAAATTGTTGTAAATAGCAAGGTACAGTAATAAAACATATATGTATTTGTGATATAAAATAATAAGTTTAGTCAAAAATCACAAAACACATCAAACTGCATAATGAGTTTCATGGGGCAATTATGCTGCAAGGTTTACCATCGGAGTGCGAATCCATGATTATGACACGTGAGCACTCGGGAATTGAAATATTAGTTGGTTTAGGGAAGACTAAATTATTACTGCATCCTGCTATTTACAACAGACATTACATAGACATTTGGACAATTATACAATTAGAGCCAATATGTTTTGCTAACAATAGCGCCCAAAAATTTTAGGGAACAGAGGGCGCTACTGGAGTTAGTACTTTTTATATAATGAAAACATAAACAGAATATTGCAATAATTGTAATATTATATAGCGTCAAATTATTATAATGCAGTTAGTGAATATAAAAAAAATAATTATTTATTTGTTGCACCTATTATAAAATAATCAATACAGTTAATTTTAATGACAAGTGATACAAAAGGTGGCCTTATCGCTAAGCAATCTCTTTTAGACTATCTTAAGGTAGAAGTCATTAAGAAAAAAGACAAAGGATAGGTGGCATATATACAAATATATACACATACATATAAACAAATATATACATTAACATACACATACTTAATAGCACACATACAACAGAAGACAATGAAAGTGGAAAATGAAAAGATAACATGGGAAAATAATACTTAAAGGGAGAGATAGTAGAAGTTAACAGAGGATTTGAAACTAGCGAGAGATTGAGCGCACCAAATAGAGGCAGGTAAAGAGTTCCACAGGCGAACTGCCTGCACAGTAAATGATTTGAAATAAAAGGTAATGGAGTGAGTGGGAAATTTGAGGCGGAAGTTAGTAATATAATTAAATTGTATAATTAAACAAATAAAAGAAAAATCATTATAACATGTTACAAAATATGTTTAGATCATATATTGTGTTGTTAATTGTTGCTGATTTGTTCTTTTATTTAATGTCTAAATTTCAAAGTCACGTCACGTCGCTCGTTCAAAGAGACGACCTCTAGCTGTGTGATTTTAATGAATAAACTGAGAGGTAAAGTTAAAAGCCAAAATAAATCCTCTTTCGGCGAATACAGGGTATTACATTTGCCCAAAGCTTCGTTTTATCCCCGTGGGGTAGTATCTATTTATACTGTTGATTAATATTTATATTTTAGTATCCATCTTTTATTCCAGAAGATTTTAATAAATATAATAATTACAATTAAATTGCCATTAAGAGACTACCGACTAAACCGTCTTTAAAAAATTCGTGTATAATATAGTATATATCATATATGTGTAAGTATATTTGTTATTCATATATATTTATTCGTTTATATATGTAATTTTAGTATGTATGTATATCAATAATTAGTAGTACCGCATTCGAGTATTCTGACACTTCCCTATGGTTGACTGGGAGAGAATGCTTTTAGCATTAAGTCCGCCATGTACACATATTTGTACTAATGAATAAAAATAAAAAAAAAATTTAAGGTCGTCTATTTCAATTTCATTGCAAAAAGATGTAACTATTAAAGATTTATCATTTTTGTTAATATCACTCTGCAATTAATTGTAAAAAGTGAAAAGGAACTTTGATTGATTAAACTTTTGATAACGCCAATCGTTACGAACAAATACTATGTAAAAAGATTTGAAAAGAGAATTACTTCAGAATAGGTAACTTTCTGAAGTTCTACAGTAGAATCGCAAGACGATTTAAAAAAGTTTTTGTATAAGCCTACTTAAATAAAGATTATTTTGATTTGATTTGAATCATTTATTATGATAAATTTTATTTAGTTTAGTTTTTTTTTTTGATGTGTGTAAATGGTATGGTAACTCCGCCTGCACTAAAGGGATACGCTGGCGGAGCACCAGTGAAGGGTGATAGATGAGAATGAAAACAGGCCAGTTAGCCCATCATGACAAATTCATCAGGAATTAACCATGATAGTTTCCAGGGAGAACCGCGAGGAAGTCGACCTGGTAGGGTATATTGCTAACAGTGGGATTCTCAGTCTCCATTACTAACAATCCCTTTCCCCCCTTTAGTTTAGTATTTAATTAGATTAGTATTCCATAAATTAATTGAATTGTTTATGATTATATTGACACATCACATTGTTGTCCCAGAATTGAATGGGCCAGCTATTTCTTTCTCGTGGGTGTCGTAAGAGGCGACTAAGGGAACTTAATGGTCGAAGAATGAGCAGCAGCGTTCCTCTTTAAATATCACCACAGCCTAGCTACGGTTGCCAACTTACCTGCCAAGTATGGCAACTACTTGCAAAAACTACCAATAAGGATAGATAGTCAGCAATGGACAGTTCAAAGCTGATATGATGAAAATATTGACATAAACCATTAGCATAATGATCTGAATAAGACATCCTGGTTTAGGTTAATCTAGGACACCAATAACAACTAGATGATGGATACCATTATTTTTATCAAACCTAATAGACAGTTACTAAGAACCCAGCCTGTAATCTCTTATGAGTTGACAAGTGATAGACGTTGTAATAGTTTGCCAATCGTCGATAAGTGTTTGGCAACCTGAAACTTATTTCCTAAAGGCCGACGCTAACAAACGATATGAAATCTTTTGTGACAAAATACAAAAAAAAAAATAGGTGATAATTTTCTAGTAGAAATGTCAATATTTGTGGTTTTAACATGAAAACTATGTACTTACAATTTATCCAATGAAAATATTTTTGGGACATCATCGAAACCGTCTGAACAAAAACATACAACAAACGAAATAATTTATAATATAAAAGTAGGTTTGGGAACTAAAAAAATGTAATTTGTCATAAAATTAATATACAATCAACACACACAAGGAATTAACCCTATTAATTGCGAAAGTTATTATTAAAATAGTTTCAAGCCTTTTTTATATTACATAGACGACAAACAAACATACGGCCCACTTAATAGCGGTTATCGTAGCCTATAAACACATACAATACCAGGGATATTACGCGCACGTTGCTGACCCTGAAGAAACTTTTTCCCTTTTTTAAGGAACCTTATGCTGGAGTTTCCTGGAAAAGCCTCGACTGGGAACTAGTGAATCGATAAATATGTTATACATAATATCTTACTTTGTCGTAATATCTTGTTTATACAACTTAAGGTTACAACATAAATATATAAAAAACAAATTTAGAACCTCTTACTTTTTTAAATCTTTTAATATTGAACACTTCTTATTTTTTTTTTAAATTAACCAAATAAAGTTGAATGTAAACGAATAGTACTTTTATATTTGGAATAAATTATTTAATTCTTTGGACAATGAAACCGTTGCTCACGCTGTGACAATTTTGTCACTCTTATCTAGTCGTAGTTACATATTTACCTTAAAATTAAATCTTATTATAAGTGCATGATTCATATTTTCATAATGTAATGGATGCATTCATGCTTCCATAGCTAAAATAGTTACGCTGGGTAAAAAAATTAAAAAAGATTTTAAAATATCAGGTCATTCAATTACAACGCAATAAATTTACAGGGTACAGAGGAATAACAACTGAGTCCTCAGGAATGGCAATGCATAGGGGGTATCATGGGCGAAATAGTATACTCTGTTATGTCCATGGTACTATGTTTATGGTTACCACTTTCCATCAAATGGACCGTCAGTTTGTTTGTCATTCAAAGTAGTACAAAAAAAAGTCCTGACTTTTTTTAACAATTTGATACAATGTCTAAATGCGAAGTTTAATAACTATGATAACTAAGTAGGTACTTATTCTTTTCCTTTTTAATTGTATGTTTTGTATGTAAATATGAATATTTGATTTTTTTCGTACATAAATGGCTTTCAGGTACTCGTAATAAAGTCAGCGACCCCTGCAAAGGTTCTCGGCGGTAATAGTAATTCGATAAAGTAGCAAGAAAATGGGGAGGAAAAGAAAGTAAATCTATTAAAAATATTTTTAGAGATATTTATTCAACGGTATCTACGCAATTTATTTCAACATTATAAGTTTAAGTAAATAAATATTAGCTAACTATATAAGTATTTGATATCGTGTTATGCAAACATTTAACTTAAATACCCAATCACGTTTTGCGAAACAAAAATTGAGTTGTTATTATTTTTAAGAACAGTTTATAATTGCCTACACACTAATTTACCAACTACTAACTTACTAACCATACAACTATACTGGAATATTACTAAGTAATCTCTATTTTCAACATTGACAAAAGATAAGTTACTCGTCTTTTTATTTAATATGTTTTTTTTTTGTTCTTATTTAATAATTTACATAAAAATCTAATTTCAAAAGTTTATACAATATTACAAATTGAAGCCAACAGTATTTTCTTAAATCTACGAGAAATTTAGTTCTATTATCATAAAATTCTGAACCTTTTCTGCTTTTACCACAGACATATATTTTTCTTTATTATATAAATAAAACAGAATTATTGAATTCCATTATTTGGGTACCGTTGTTAGTAGGTAATGTGTACTGAGAAATCACATCAAAGTAAAATGACAAGAATATTAAAGTTGAGCTTGTTTCCGCTTTCTATAAATACAGTTATCTACATATACTAGCTGTATCCTGCGGATTCTATTACATGAATTATATAAAGTATCCTGTATGTCAAGTTAAGATATAATCTATCTGTGTACTAAATTTCATTCAAATTTATTTAGTAGCTTTTGTGTTAAAGAGTAACAAACATCCATTCATCCGTCCATCCATCTATCCATACAAATAATGTCATATATTTACAAATTTTAGCGTTTAATAGTAGTAGGACTAAAATAAAGTTATACAGATTTTTTTTATGCAACTTAGAATGGCAAACAAGTTGACTGCCCACTTGATGGAAAGTGGCAACCATTGCCTATAGACATGAGCAGTACCATGGATATAACAGATATACTATTTCGCTTGTATATTATATTATACTATTATATTATATTATATATTGTATATTGTATATTTATTATTATTGTATATTGTATTATACTATTTCCCCCCCCCCTGCGTTGCCATTCCTGAGAACTCAGGTGACCTCCGTACCTTGTAAAATTACTGTCATATCCCATCCTTCAAACCAAAACATAGCCATGTAAACACAACTGCTTCATGGTAGAAACATGAATGGGACAAAAGTGCCCAAGCAAACGACTTTTGTACAAAGTCACCCTCTGAATCTGAAACAATGTATGTTTATTGAATATTTTTTTTTTACAAAAACTATCTAGTTTTTCAACGATTCAGCCAATCGTTAGATTTAAAACTATTCCAAAAATTAATTTAAGCTACCACGCCAATACAGGCGTAAGACAAAACGATTTACGAGTATATTGTAGTAGCTGTATCCCGCGGCTTCTGTCATGTTAATTAGTACATAAAGTTTTCTAATTTCTAAGTTAGGATATAACCAACCAGTGTACTCAATGTCATTCAAATCCGTTTTATAATTTTTGTGTGAACTTTACAAAGCTTCACAATTATTATATTATAATAGGATTTGATTTATATTAAATATTTCTTTGAAGTCTTTCCCGATATATATCTATTTACAATTTTTATTCTAATTCTCGCAAATTAAGCCTTTTAACATTAATTATGTCAATTACAGCTGAAAAAATAAGACAATTACTGACAAAATAAATAAAAAACAGCTGCATCACATTTTTTTGACTGGCTACTGAGAGACAATTTAAGTCTCGGCAAGAATAATGGCATTATTACTACTTTGTCTTTCCAAAAAATTATATTATCGCCACTTAGCTCTTAATGCGAACTGCTGAGAAATACAATGCTCTTTGTTTCTGCATTTGTGTTTCCGAGAAAATACAATCTGAAATATTTCATGAATGAGTATTTTCTGATGAGATAGCTCAAACGTACTCATATTGTAATTAAAAAAAATCTCTTTATTATTAAATTGGTTTACATTAGCAAAAAAATTAGACCTTTTAGATTAGAGAGAAAAAATTAGATTTTTAGAAGAGATAATTCATATAAAAATCATCTTTATAATAAAGATACCTCTCCTGCTCTAAAAATGTGATCAAATTGCCTACAGCGGCATTTTCTAATAAATATGACATGGGGGCCGTCAAAATAAAGAATTTATACCTTTTTAAAAGGTCATCAACGAATTAGCGACTTCCCTGGTTTCGGTAATCACTTAACATCAAGTGATTTTTTTACATAAATAACACCTCTGTCCCCTTCGTATTTCTCTCACTAAGCAACTGTGGTTGTATGATTGTATTTCGCTTTGAAGGATGGGATAACGTAATAAAATTACAGAGTACATTTAACTCCGACCAAATCGTTTATATGTAATTACTCTTCACCATCCAAAGATTTCCTGGAAAAGATCACTCTTAGCGATAGGGCCGTCTATTGTTTTCTAAGTGTATTCTATCCTTGTAATTGTTTGTAGTATTGTTTTAATAACTTTACGAATGTAATCTTTTGGAGGAAACAATAAAAAGTAACTATCTATATTTAGAGACATAACATCTTAGATCTAAATATGAGAGCTATCAAAAACATCATAGTGTAGTTTGTAATCTTCATAGTGCTTTTTGTATTTATAGGCGACCAGTGGCGTAACTATACCATTTGGGGCCTGTGGTAAATTCTTTTGATGGGGCCCTATCATTTATTTTTAAGTAAAAGAAAATACTCAGGTACAAGGTAAAAAAATCTGAGATCGCGGCTTCTTGAGCCCGGGCCCTTTTAGATCGGGGGCCTGTGGCATTTTGCCAGTCCTGCCACCCTATTGTTACGCCACTGTAGGCGACGGTTACCATTTTTAATCAGGTGAGCCGTCAGCTTGTTTGCCATACAGTAAGTATTAAATATTATATTCTAAACTGCATGTAGTGTGTGTGCAGGTGACATTCCTGATGATGCCGCTTGAGATCGCGTGGGCGGCTACGGTGCAGTGGCTGGCTGGCGACCTGATGTGCCGGACCATGATGTTCACCAGAACATTCGGGCTGTACTTATCGAGCTTTGTCCTCATTTGTATAGCTATTGATAGGTAAGTTATTTTTTATTGTTGAAGGGTCCCGCCAGGGTCGGATTATCCATTAAGCAGTGGTGGCAACTATCTAGGGGCCTCCCATCCATTAGGTGTCCCATGCTCCGTCAATATTTCTTTTATTTTTTATTTAAATAATAATTACATTTGAAACAAATTTTCAAACATCTAACAAACCCTCAAAAAAATTTTACCTGTTTGTTTTCTTTTTTTTTTATTTTATATTACGTAAAACATTTCCAATTATTATATTATAGCAATTTTTTGTGAGCGAAATGTGCATTAGTAAGCGAGCTGGCATGGTTAATCCGGCCCTTGATCCCACTCTCACCTAATTGAAATAATGATATGATCTAAGTACTCGTAGAAGCTCGTGAAATCATGAATAGCCTATTGACATTTGCTTTAAATTGTTAGAATTATATTTAGTTAGAAAAGTATAAAGAGAGTATCAGTTCCACTTCTCAGGCGTATAAGGATGATGAAAAAAGACTCAAAACACTTCGTGCCTATAAATAGAAAATCTACCATATAAGGGTCGATATACTCTCTTCGTCTGGTCGTCCGATGTAGACAGAAGGATGGAAGATTTATTTATTACTAACTTTTACCCGCGACTTCATTTGCGTTATATTGACTGGAATATGTACACACGGATTAAAAAGTACGTGTACACCAAATTTCATAATAAGTGATTAAACCGCTAAGGCACTAAGAGGCATTAAACAAACAAACTCACTTTTATATTTATAATATTAGGTAATTGTGATTTAAAAAATGCTCTTATAGCAAACTGAACTTAAGTGGGTGTATCTAAAAATAAAAAGTTGTAAAAATGGACAGTATGGCGTTAGCATTTATCTATTTATATTATGAACTCATAATTTCTACTCAAAATACTTTCAAATAACAGTCTCTTTTTTTTTAAATTGACATCAATTTCCTACTAATTTCATCACCGTATGTTTTCTTCATAAATTTCAGCTTTAGGTATAGCTATATATTTTTAGTGCTTGAGTACCCCGAGATATGTCAGACAGTGGAAATGTTCAGAGAAAATTAATATACATGTATTAATATATTTTTTATAGAAGGTTTGTGTGTACAATACATCTTAATTAACCAATGGCCTTGACGGTGGACGCAGGCATTTTTTGCTTTATATTCATTCTTTTTGAATTGTCACATAAACCCAAAAGGTAATTAATGAATTTCGTTGTTGAAATAAGAACATATTTCTAAATCTATTTTTTGTGTAAATAAAATATATCGTTATAAAAATAAACGTAATTTTACATTTTACCAGAGGAAGACTTTGTACAAAAGTCGATTCCTTGGGTACCTCTGTCCCATTTGTGTTTCAACCGTGAAGCAGTCGTGTTTGCATGGCTGTGTTTCGGTTTGAAGGGCATGGTATGGCGTGAATTTACTGGGTACAGAGGAATAACACCTGAGTCCTCAGGAATGGCAACGCATGGAGGGTATCATAGGCGAAACAGTATACTCTGTTATGTCTATGGTACTGCTCATGTCTATAGGCGACAGTTACCAGGTGGGCCGTCAGCTTGTTTGCCATTCTAAGTTGTAAAAAAAAAGAAAAAAAAACAAATAATTTTTTGTTGCTTTTTACAAATCATACAATGCTTTAATAAAATCTAATCAGTTTTGATTACAAAAAAATGTAAGTTTAACATATTATTTTTTTTTATTTTTATAGCAGAGTAGTTCAAGAAAATGCGACAGAAATTGGCTTTAGGAGTTAGCCTATTATAAACCTTTTTATAAATATATAATTATACCAATACCAAACTGAAATAGTTCCCTATTTAAATAATAATAAACTGCTATCTGTAGAATAGTGCTAATCTTCAGCCGCCGAATAATCTCATATCTATGGTAATTATTAGATAAACGATCCATATTCAATGTGCCCTTTGAGAAGTCCTTTTATACGTGAGTGTATTGAAGAGAAAATTACACAGAAAAACTACAGGTTATCTTCGTATCTCTCATAATATCTTGCTATTCACATTTGCCAAAAGATATATTTCACATAGGTATAGGTAAAAGTCTGCTACATTATATTAGGTATTATAATTGTTAAAATATAAGACAGAAATTATTCTACCGCCTGTACAATTTACACAGCCACTTTCTACCATCGTACGGCTCGCCATCGACAGGGAGTTCATCCTCATGTCTTACAGCCTCAATGGTCGCGTTCTGCGCGGTTTCAGAGATGTTTCCTCCCATGAACACTCATGTTGTGGAATGAGCTCCCTGCCGAGGTTTTCCCAAGAGACTACAGCATGGGGTTCTTCAAAAGGGGGGTAAAGAGGTTTCTTCAGGGTCGGCAACGCACGCGTAATACCTTTGGTATTGCAGGTGTTCATAGGCTACGGTAACTACTTACCATCAGGTGGGCCGTATGTAAAATTTAAAGTTAAAGTTAAAATTTCTTAATATATTAAATGACAGATTTTATAATAGATTCTTTTTTAACGATTGCGGAATCAGCCTATCGATAGTTACGGGTTCGATCCCCGTACTACACAACATATATATAATCCTACGGCGACCTCCGTATCTAATATAACAACGCGTTCAGGGTGTTCATGGGGCTACCACGATTCTGTAGTGCATCGGGGATGTTTTTATTCCACGATGCGGAAAAGGTACGCATCCCTGGTGCGCGTGTGCCAGCGGCAACAGCATCCTGAGTATGATAGCATGCTTGCTAGACTGTGTGTTCTCCACTGCTGTATCTCCAATGGAGTTGTACAGCGGTGATTATTTGTATACATGTGTGTGTGCTTATGTGTAAATTTACTAACATTAACTGTAAGAACATTGTTACTAATAAAAAAATAATGGACCAAAAGTTTAAATAAGTATTATTATTATAAAATCATGAGTATATCTATCTATATTTATGTGAGCGTTCTCTTTGTGTATACTTACAATTTTTTTTTTATACAACTTAGAATGACAAACAAGCTGACGATCCACCTGATGGAAAGTGGTAACCGTCGCCTATAGACATGAGCAGTACCATGGACATAACAGAGTATACTGTTTCGCCCATGATACCCCCATGCGTTGCCATTCCTGAGGACTCAGGTGTTATTCCTCTGTACCCAGTAAATTCACTTACAAAAATGTAGGTATTACCTAAGTATGTCTATTAATTGCTTAGTATCAATGATAATTTTGCTTACTTTTGGACTCAATGACAATGCACAATATATCTACGTTTTTTTTAATGGATGGAAATGGAATAGTAACATCGCCTGCACTAGTTTATACAGATCGTGAAAGATCGTAGTATATTCACTAACATTTACCCACAGTCGTTTCCAAGAAAAATCGCGTGGTAGTTGACCTGACAATCTACATAATATTTATAACAATGGGGTTGCTAGTCCGCATTACTAATAATTATATATTTGTTTATTAAATTTAAATTTCTACTCTTCAGGTACTATGCAATCCTGAAGCCACTGAACGTGACGTGGGAAGCGCGGGTCAAGAGAGCACTCTCCGTAGCATGGGCGTGTGCTGCTCTCGCCAGTTTGCCGCAAAGCTTGATTTTTCACCTAGAAGAGCATCCAATTGTAAAAGGGTAAGAATGTTACTTAGTTTGTTTGAAGCAAATCTAACTTATCTTTTTTTTTGCATATGGGGTCAGCTAAGCCGATGCACGTCGACCCATACGGATCTTTTGCGCTTCCCCTTGCCTTATACCATCATTTCATAGATCCTATGTGTTACCCTAACGACATCCCGCATCTATCTAACATTAATTGTAACTTTTTACAATTAGTTCTTTATAAACTTTTACACAATTGCGAGTCATTTTAAAATGATTAAAGTATTATGTAAAAAGTTGATTTCTTTGTAGTTGTAAAAAGAGCTGCCTAAAAATGTGCTAAGTACTTACAACAAAGTAAGTAACTAAATCTCTAAGGAAAGTTTACTTTTTTCTTGGGTGTTCATGACCTCTAATTATTGTTAAAATGTTTCTTTTTTTTTTTAAATAGCTTTACGACTTTGGATGTTTTCTTTTCAGCCCATTTTTATATAATAATAATAATAATAAAGGCTTGTTAAGTGTTAAGACCATGCACAACCGCGAGGTTGACAGCCTCAGGACATTTTCTGGAGAAAATAGACGAGGGTTTGCATAGAGAGGTCATAGAATGTGACAAAGGATTCACCCCTCTTTCTCTGGCTAAAGAGGACTGGCGAAAACCCGAAGTTTTGGGTACCTCTCAGCGGGAGGCCGTATGGAAAGAGAAGGAGTTGCACGGAAGGTTCTTCAAAGCCCTTCACGGGCCGTACGTAAACACGAAGACCTCCGTGCACTGGCTACAGTTCGGTGATCTCTTCGGAGAGACCGAGGGTTTTGTCTGTGCAATACAGGATCAGGTGGTTAAGACGAACAATTACCGAAAGCACATTCTGAAGGATGGCACTGAGGACATCTGTCGGGCATGTCGCCATCCCGGAGAGTCACTCAGACATGTGCTTTCGGGTTGTTCAGCTCTTGCCAACACTGAGTACTTGCACAGACACAACCAGGTAGCCAAAATACTCCATCAAGAGCTAGCTCTGAAGTACGGCCTCGCGAATGAGAGGTTGCCGTACTATAAGTACGAGCCCCAGCCGGTCCTCGAAAGCGACAGCGTAAGGCTCTACTGGGACCGATCCATCATCACGGACAGGACCGTTCTTGCGAACAAACCTGATATCGTGGTGATGGATCGGGCACTCTCGAGGGTGTTTTTGGTGGATGTCACCATACCGCATGACGAGAACCTCGTGAAAGCCGAAACCGAGAAGAAGAGAAAATATCTCGACCTGGCTCACGAGGTGACCGAAATGTGGGGGGTGACATCTACCGAAATCATCCCAATCGTTATGTCGGTGAACGGTCTCATCCCAACCAGTCTGGAACAACATCTCAGACGGTTGGGATTCCGAGGCGGCTCACTCCCGGGAAAGATGCAGAAAGCGGTGCTCTTAGATTCTGCCCGCATTGTACGCCGGTTTCTCTCCCTGGGGCCCTGAACCCCGGCCGACTGTGCTTCTGCCGGGGGTTAGTTGCCATCTCCTCTCCTTAAGAGGGGAGATGAGAATTTTAGTGAAATTAATCAAATAATAATAATAAAATTTATTGCCATTCTTCACAAATTATAATTAATTTATCAATATATTGTCCATTAATCGTATGCGCCTGGCAATAGGTACAAACTCAGCTTTTGCTGGACTGATGTTCGTTCAGCGCTGATTTTCAGTTTGCACCTACACGGGGCACCGTTTCATTATCAAATTAATAATTTAATCCATATTTAAAAGTAATTATAGTATTCTAAAAGTGTGGCGGATAAATTCATAGATAATGTTTCTCGTTTGTTAGTGATGTGATGGTCATATAGACCGTGCAACCAGAATTCAAATTATTAGTTATATTATATATACTTACTACTAATGTTATTTAATATTTTTCACGAATAGGTATAAGTGCAAGTACAAATATAATTTGTACTAAGAAAAATATATTGTAGATACCATTGTTAGTTGTTACTATCTAGACTTCTTTTAATTTTTATTCATTATTAATATTTCATAATAAGTTAATATTGTAATTTTAGAATAAATAATCCTTTGAATATACTTTACATATAAGAGTAAACATATAAATATTCATAGTTATAAACCAATAGGATTATTTATTCTTGTCCATAATTGATCTAGTTTATCGTTTAGAAGTACACCAAATATATTGGATACTATTAGTATAGTACTTGGCTCGGGATAGTTGATACATCTTAGCTCGTCAAAAGGTTTAAGTTGGTATCCAGGTGTCCTTATTTATAGACATCAATAATACTTACTCTATATAGGACCGAATCTATAATTTGTACCTGGAACAATAATGTTTGATCTGGGAGAATCACGGCTTCGCTCTATTGAGCACGTCGAATTTTTTCGATACCAACTTGACCTTACTTTTGATATCTTAAGCACATTAAATCTTTTTTGATCCAGTGAAATTTTGGATCCTATAATGACGTTATAGGTAAAGTCCAACAGAATCGAATTTTTATTTCTTGTGATTGTCAGAGCATTGGTTACAAAAGTGTAAATTGTACTTCAAATACACTGAGCTCTTGAAAATTATGTCAATATCATGACGAAATTATTCGTGGATATTTATTAAATTCGCACCAAAAGTGAATCGGCTTTTGCTGCGTCAACAAAAAAGAATGAATCCAAATAAATATAAGAACAACGTAACCAAAACGATAATAAATCTTATCAATTAAATAGTAAAAATCAAATACGGAACAGGCTGAAAATATCACATTACGTACATAAAAAATTCAATCCTCCTATTTTCATTAATTGCTTATAAATACAATCATCATATATCATATTCAACTCCATTATCCATTTATGATTTTCCTTTTAAAGAAATGGCACGCAGTTTATATAATAGATATAGGTAGCTAAGTTTCCTCGCAATATAAACCCATCATCGTCCTTTTACTTTTTCAATTCGTATTGATCTAATAGGCGCCAGACGTGTTTGACCTTCGTAAATTATATTTACAGATACTACCAATGCGTGTCATACGGGTCGCTGCCAACAGAGGATCACGAGTTCGTGTACTTCCTGGTCAACATGCTCCTTATGTACGTGGCGCCACTCGTGTCCACACTCTATTGTTCCTCCGCGGCACTCTTAGAAATTATTCGAAGGGCGAACACCGCCAATGGTAAGTCAATTAATCGATATTATCGTTACGAAATAACAAACATGAAATACATTGGTACAGAGGATTTGCATTATACGCCATACGCCATTGCTGACAAAGATCTTAATCATGTGTGACGTGCGAGGTTTTTTCATACATGTTAACTCTATATGTTATTAAAGTACCAGTACTTTTTAATCACCAATTAATGAACACCATAATCTATTAATATTCTACTATTAAGTTCGGGCCTCTAAGAAAAAAAGAGGATTGCCCTGCAGGCCAATTGGTTTGGTATAGGGTTTACTGAGTTATTGAGTTGAGTTTCTCCTGTCCTGTTTTAGCAACTATTGTCTTTCATTGGCCGATTATTACACGATTGGCCGCATGCAGAAGCTTCAAGTTGCTCAGCGGGCTGTAGAGTAGGATGTATTCGGAGTTTCTTTGCGTGATAGAATTAGAAATGTGGATATCCACAGAAAAACCAAAGTGACCGATACAGCTCGAAGAATAAGCAAACTGAAGTGGCAATAGGCTGGGCATATATCTCGAAGAACTGACAATTGATAGGGAGGAAAGGTTCTTCAGTGATAACTCCGTAAACGCAGTATAGGACAACCCCCCACTAGATGTAGCGACGATCTCAAATGCATTGCAGCGAGTCACTGGACATAGGTGGCTCGGACTCGCTCTTTATGATAGTCTATGGGAGACCTATGTTCATTAGTGGATAGTTTACGGCTTATTTGATGATGTACTTTATTGTTATGAGTATGTACAAGTTACAACTTTATGATTGACTTTCATTTCGAAGGTCAAAGACACCCTATACTTCTAATATATCTCTGGAAATATAACCATATTTTTATATAATGATAATAATAAAAAATAAGTTCATAAATAAGCAGCAGATTAAATTTCCTTTCCTATAATTAAGTAAAAACAAAAACATACAACTCGGAATATTTTGACCGAGAAATAAAAGAGGAACCTCTTCCACAAAAAACATTTATTATGTAGATATTTCATCATATCAGCTGTTACTGTCCATTTCTGAACATAAGCCTTCCCTTGTTACCAGATGTTGTCACGCTTGGCAAGCGGGTTGGCAAACGCAGTTAGGCTTTGGAGATCTTTTAAGAAGGACGCTGCTGCCCATCCCTCGCTCTCCCTTAGTCGCCTCTTACGACACCCACGGGAAAGGAAGGGATGGCCTATTCCATGCCAGTACATCACGGACTATGTAGATATTTAATGTACCTATATTATTGTTTTTTTTTTTTGTATTTCAGATAAAATGCGTCGAAGCGGCGTTGGAATTCTAGGGCGCGCGAGAGCGCGTACCCTCAAGATGACTGTCACAATCGTCTTAGTATTCTTTACATGTTGGTCCCCATATTACTGTTATTGTTTATGGTGAGTTGGACAATTATAAATAAAATCCGACAATTCGTATATTTAGCTGGAAGTCGTTATCTGGAATGTTAAATCATATGTAACTAGTGATCAGGCCCGGCTTCACAGGGGCACATTGAATTTTCGAATATGTAGTCTATGGTACTCTTTCTTAATGTAGCTTTCCATAAGTGAAAAAAATTTAAAAAGTGTTGTTTTTGAATTAATCCATTCAAACAATCAACTCCTCCTTCTCTTCTTCTTTCTAATCTTTATAATTAGTACATTAGTACATATACAAAAATATTCCAATTTTTATTGTGACAAAATTAATATGGTTATAGCTATTACAAGGGTAAAAGGAAATATATATTTCAAAACGTATCAAAATGGGTCAAAATTCACTTTTTGCAGTTGCTTCAAAAGTGTTCCATTTAATGTCAAGTAAAAGAAATAGGACTTTAAATATACTAGAATAGTAAGATAAAAAAAGCATTGTTTTAATTGACGAATAAAATATATTTTATACACATGCATATTATGAAGACTTCCGTGGCGCAGCAGCGAACACGATGTTTTAGATCAATTTAGGAAACAAATATTTCTAGAATGGATTGGGTCTGCGTGTGCGTGCGTGTGCATAACACAAAAAGTATTCTAGTTTAAAGTGAATGATGTGATTTTTTTTATTTAAATAACTTTATTGACTAAAAGAAAATATGCTACTTTAAGGCGAATTTAATGTTAGTAGCATTCTCTACTAGTCAATCCTTGGGATGAACAGTGAATCACGAACGCAGTACTTCGTTATTGGGATGGGTAAATAAAATAACAGCTACTAACACCAAAGGGAGACTTTGTACAAAAGTAGTTTGCTTGGGCACGTTGTTTTGTCCCATTCGAGTTTCAACCGTGAAGTAATTGTGTTTATATAACTATGATTCGGTTTGAAGGGTGGGATATGTGAGTGAATTTACAGGATACAGAGGAATAACACCTGAGTCCTCAGGAATGACAACGCATGGAGGGTATCATGGGCGAAACAGTATACTCTATTATGTTTTTGGTACTGCATGTCTATAGGCGACGGTTACCACTGTCTATCAGGTACGCCGTAAGCTTGTTTGCCATTTTTAGCTGTATAAAAAAACAGTGATTGTGTATATTTTTCAGTTATAATTAGTTAATTTTAATATAATATTTATTTTAAAAACTGGTGTACCGATTACCAGGTTCTGGATGGACAAGGATGCGTTGAAGGACGTGGACCCGGCGGTACAGAAGGCGATGTGGCTCTTCTCGTGTACCAACTCCTGTGCAAACCCCATTGTGTACGGCGTCTTTAACAGGAACAGGTGGACGTGGCGATCTGGACTCGTGAGTATACTTACTGTAATGGACCGATAGAATTAATTGATAATAACTAAAACCTGTGGCCATGTCGTCCCAGCATAGAATAGGCCTTTCCCATGGGTGTTGTAAGAGGCGACTAAAGGAGGGCAGGGAATGGGCAACAGCGACCCTCTTAAAACATCTCTAAAGCCTAATCGTGGTTGCTAATCCACTTGCCAAGCGTGGCAACTACTGGCAAATCCTCTTAAGGTGGGTGCATGTTCAGAAGTAGACATTTAAAGGCTGATATGATGATGATGATGATGATGAACAAGAACCTACAAATCATTTAGACTACGAGTATTAGACTGTTATGTCCTTTTCTATCAAATTGAGAATTTTTTATTAATGATTTATAGTTTTTATAAATAAGAAGTAAGATAGCATTCTAGATAAACATTAATTATATTATTATGTACTATATTAGTACACTAATAAAGTGTATACATGTCCCCTAGCAAGATGGTGTAATGATTTACGCAAAATTCTGCGATAATTGCGTAAAGCACAAAACCATACGAAATGCGCACGTTGTTAATGACTTTATCCAGCAATGGATTGCTGTGAGCTGATTAAAAACTACTCAATTGATTTAATTTTTTTTTTCACCTGTAGAAAACTACATTATCAGCGAGTAACATAGGCTAATTATTTTAAAAAATTCTATCAACCCATGCAAAGCCAAATGGGGTCATTAGTGTATAATAGTGATAAGAATAGTGGTGATGCAAGGGAATTACGTTAGTGAGTAAAATTATTTGCTTGACCTATTTGGCGTGAATTTACAGGGTACAGAGGAATAACGTCTGAGTCCTCAGGAATGGCAACGCATGGGGCGTATCATGGGCGAAACAGTGTACTCTGTTATGTCCATGATACTGCTCATGTCTATAGGCGACGGTTACCACTTTCCATCAAGTGGGCCGTCAGCTTGTTTGCCATTCGAAGTTGTATAAAAAAAAATACTGTATCAATAAAGTATTATAAAAATAAACGAATAATTGACCATAACATGTTGATGTCCAATAGATAAATAAATAAAATTAAAGGAAATAATAAACAAAATTATTAATCGAATAAATAATTCGCTTCATTTACTTTATTTACAGAGTTTTTCAGTGATAATTTCATCAAAACTTTCGTTACCTTTTCATTGACTTCTATTGAAAAAGACTATTTAAATTATAATGTTACCAAACTCGCAGAGTTGACAGTTGTTTAGTTAAAGAACAAAGAATAAATTGTTTGTGGTTTGTTTGTTTCTATTGTCTGTTTAACAGTTCCTTCACAACAGATTCCTAACAAATATTTGTTAATAATTATGTTGTAAATTTCACTAACATAAAAAAAAATATACGGAAGATATACATATGTAAAAGAAAACACGAATCTTAATAAGACCAATAGATGCGAAAACTATATTCTTTTGAAATTTTGTCTATCTGTATATTTGTACCGGTACCACATAAAAATACCAATAAAAAAATGGATGCGGTTTTGTATTCCTGAAGATCTAACTTAAAATCTGGTGCACGTTTCATCGTGATACGCCATCTAGAAGAAGTTTTCATATTTCTGAACTTCACGCGTACTTAGTAGAGAGCAATAAGTTAGTTGTAAATAATCACAAATAAAAAATTAATTTCAGAACACGCGATGTCGAGGTGGCAACATGTATCGCGGCTCAAGATTCCCTTACTATGGGGAGTCAATGGAAATATCCGCAGCTACCTTAGCCCGAGCTCGCAACTCACTCCCTGACAGAAATAGTCAACGGGAGTCCCCTTTCGCTACAGCCGCTACACAGAACGGAACTAAAAAACACTTGAATAACAACAACCATTTTGATAACGGTATGGTTTAGTTAAACCAATATAAAAAAAAGTATTCCCATACAAAATGTGGAAGGACAATTATTAATTATAACAATCGCTATGCTGAGAACGTTATTTTAACAGTTATTATGTGGCTAACGTTATTATAACGTGTTATGGTAATGCTGTTATACATTTGCAAAAACATGCTTTTATATATCGAGTGAGCGATAGAGCTCATATTTTTATACTGCATATTGAGTGGTGAAATAGGCAGTATGAATTATATTTATCATATTTAAAGTCAATATTTCTATAGCTGAAATCCTTAAATGAATTGGTAAAATAATTATAGTGGATCTTTGTATAAATAAATTTGTATAGAACTAAATTAAATAATTATCGACATAGATAATGAATTATTTTACAGATTTATTTTATAATAATTTGTATATTCAATGTAAAATTAGTAGAGAAATTGAAACGAAAAGATTATTTTAAATTATTTTTCTGATAATATTTACTTGTAAAAAATACACGTAGATACCTACAATATTTCCAAAATAAATTCCTAAAATTGTAAAGAAAGCTTTAAGCATTAGTCTCGATGTGTGTTTAGGATTTAAGTTTTCTATGGTTGTCGTTTATGACTATTGTGCCATGCCTTACGAATTAAAATCTAATGTTACCTATACATTCCTGTTGTAAATAAATACACATTTTGTTTAAATTATTGTAAGTTGTTACCTAGAAATATTTTTATTTGAAATACTCATGGTTTAATTTAATTTAGGGGTTCGATAACATTCCAATGACCATAAACTTAAGTTGATAGTTCCTATACGTTGTAATTATCATAATCATTTTTAACCAATAAGACTGACTGACTGACGATAAATATATAAATTTCGAAGAAATGCATAATAGAATCCGATTTCCGATAAAATTCAAACGCAATGCATTTTTCGAACATTATCAGCAGATGATCCTTGAATGATTGTGTTTGTTCTACAGAATACTTACTATTCGTATAGGATGTACATTTATTATTTTTATCGCCATTAGATGTGCGCAATGTGTGTGTCTATGTAATGCAATGTAAAGTATGTTTTAATACAATTACGCTATAAAATTGTGTGTTTATTTTAAATACTTACAATATAGGCACTTGCAATGCTCTTTTATCTAATATTTTGTTATATTACATTAGTATAATTATTACAAATTATATCACATATTACGCACGTCTAGAGCGGCTTTAAATATTTTTCTTGGCTGTGAGGTGATCGAGACTCAGTTATATCATTATATAAAATATTTTACTTTACCAAACATGAATTATGTTAAAGTTTTTAAGTAAACACAAAGAATAGTTTATAAATATATAATTGAATTCTGTTGAACATCTATTTTCTTTTTAATACCTTTAAAGATTAAATATTCTTTATATCCCAAATCCTTACCAATATTATAAATATGAAAGTGAGTTTATTTGTTACCTCATAATGATATAATGGCTTAACTAATCACTGTGAATTTTGCTATGCACGTACTTTATTAAATGCAAAAGGATCTAGGCTATTTTTTATCCCGGTCAGTAAACATATCCCGGTCACGCGGACAAAGTTGCAGTTGAAAGCTAGTAAAATAATATTGTTTTCATTACAATTAACTCAGATACGTTGTTCATCATCTAACGAAAGTGTTGTAGTGACAAAAAAAAAAAAAACAAATCAATAAGTGTACACATTAGTCATATACATATACCATGTAATATTGTTTTGCGTACCACAGGAAGTCAGTGTTTTATACTTTTTTGCAAAGCAATAAAATGAGTCGTGACCATTTTGTGTTACTCTGGCAACCAATATCAGTTGTGTTGCTTTTTATGTTCTTTCCTTTTTTGTGTATGTTATTTTTTTTTGTTGTGTGCTAGAGTTACAATTTTTTTTTACTATCTACCATGGGCAAACCATACCTTCTTCTGTGGTCTTGTTGTGGTACTTCTATGCATTAATTTTCATACCACAACCCAACGAAATATATATTATACTACTTCAAGAAAGAAATAGGTTTTGTATAAAACAGCTTAGTATCTGCCCATACGAGTCAAAACGCACCAATTTGATTTAAAGTTATCGCCAATAAACTCTACCGGGTTTAATCTTTTACTGTATTGAGTTCTAAGCCTTCATCACTCTAGTAACAGAAACCTACTGCCATATGCTGCTATTTAAAATTTTGTATGATTATATATTAGAAGGATAGTAGGATGGGTCATAATTAATAAATTATTCACACAATATGTGTTTATTAAAATATTTCACATCAACTATTTCCATATAGAGATATATCAAAGTTTAACAGCGAATTACGAATAAAGAAGTCGTTACCAATATAACATTTGTACATCAGTTTGGTCAATTTTTGTGTTAAAATATTTGGTATAATAGCTATAAATTCATAACTACAAAAAGTAATTAGTATAGTTGGAAATATGATATATCAAAATAACCAGGCTCTAGAGCTAGCTGAAATAAGTTTACGATAAACATTTCCGATCTAGGAATATGACACGTATTAACCATACTACCTAGTAAGTGATTCTAATACCATTAATTACACACAAGTTTTGGCCAGATATCTTCACACCACTTAAAAGCTAATGAACGATTTCTTTGTTTCACGTACTACTTTACATATAAATTACACAACTAAGTTTTATATTTTATTTTAGTTTATATAATCTATACTAAAACAATGAAATTAATAACAAAAATCTTTTAACACTCAAATGTAAAAGTGATACGGTAATATAATAAATGGAATGCAATAATGTGATTGATAGTCAATTAAATACTATATATATAAATAGTTTTCCATTAATAAAATCTAACAACACAAGCTTTAAAGTCTTTGACTTGCTTTATGGCACATTTACTGTAGACATTTATAAAACAGAAAAGTTTTAGTGCACTAAAATGTATGTACATCCATACAAAAATATTTATTGTTTAAAACTTGAATATATTTCATGGGGCTATTTCCTTTTTTTAAATCTGTTTTAGTAGAAGGAATTATTCAATGCTAATGAAATAACATTTTGCCCTATATGATCTTTATCTCAAAATCCATTCCACGACATCTCAAAATGTTCGCAAGATCATATTACAAATATTCTTTTGAGAAATCATGAAAAAGTTTTTAAGTACTTATAAGTAGAATTAATTCCTCGGCAAACCAGCGAGCATAATTATTTCAACTTTTATGAATATTTAGATATATAATGGCACATTTAGAACACACTGAAACATTTTATATTCTCGTAAAAAATTACGTAATGTAAACAATTATAACTAAATACATCAAATGTATTATAAAGTTATCCATTTTGTAGACATAATTTATCGTTTTATATACCTAGAAAAAGAGTTTAAACAAAACATTATTTATTGTCAATTTACTACATGACACGAGATTCGCACTCTTTTTGCCAATAATATAATCAAACACATTTTTTTTTTATTTCCAAGACTGATAACATTACACAAACATTTTATCTAACAAACATCGTAGAGTCACACAACAGATCAATTTATGCTATTACATCAATTACGTTATTGTCCTGACATATAATAACGGTAACGTTATTCGAACACAAAACGGTTATTAACCGTTATTTTTCAGCTGGACGTTTCGTCAGTCGTTTAATGGTCGACCTTCCCTAGCTCCGTGAGTTCGTGCGCGGACGCGACTTCCCGGTCGTTCTGGTGCGCGCGCGTTTTCTCAATATCACCTTGTGACAATGACGTCACTATGATGGCACCCAAGGCATCGCAAACCACATTGATTGTTGTGCGGAATCGGTCACTGTAATAGAACAATAATTTGATACACATTTATTTTTTTTAGTGTTACTTTAGTAATCTACAAAGTAAAATTGATTGATAGCTGATATTTATGACTATAAAACCTAAAATTTTCTGTACTTTTACTTTTTACAAAAACACCTGCACAAACTTTACATAGATAAGTAAATTTAATGGTAGATAATATATACATATACATAAAAAAATTATCATAAGTTTTAAAAATAAAAACAATATTCAATAAATATAATAATGGGAAAATGTAAAGCTCACCCAGTTAATGAAATAAATAATATTAATTAAAAAGTTTATAATAAGTTTATAATATCAAACAATTACGATCGAACTCTAGAATGAAGTAAAATTACTAGTAATCAAAAGGACGACGCCAAGCCGAGTACTCTTGAATAATTGTAAAACTGTATTTTTTTCTAATTTGCCAGCAAACAATAAACAGTTTTTATAAGGCAACGACGACTTTAGACGAATAAAGTAATAAAAAAATATTGGATAACAGTAACTGTCTAAAACATATAATTAACACCTAGATGTTGCGGAATAATATATGTATATAACATGATTATTTATTTATTGATTATCTGCCAGGAATTCCTGCCAGGAGCACGCCGTCTTTCTGGCAGGGTAGGCATAGAAAACTGAGTGTCGAAGGTCTCTATATTTACATATATTTCTTGTTTACATATAGTTCCCAGAACTCGTTTCATTCAAGCATGTCGGTTCTGGAGATTCTATGATAATTATAAGTAAAAGGGTATTTTGGTGTACTCACAGTAGCCAGTCGACCGCGAGGATGATGGAGACATCCTCAGCGGGTAAGTTGACGGTATCGAGCACCATCACCATGGTAACCAAGCCGGCCTGCGGGATACCTGCTGCGCCTATACTAGCCGCTGTCGCTGTCACACTGCGTAGTGAAAATAAATATTGTTCACGGGTCTACGTAGTCTAGGGGCTTATTATAAATAAAAAAAAATATTTAGGTCACGTGACTACAGACCAGTGTGTTCTGTATGTGCTTTTACTGCCAATTTGCAGAGCAGCTCCTTTTAATTTGTATAGCTGTAAAGTTTTAAATACTCATAGTAAGTCGACAGAAAGAGTGGAAAAGGAATTGTTAGTAATGAGAACTATCGACTCCATTGCTAGCAATATACCACGTCGATTTCGTCGAGAGGAACTCAGGGGTCTTTCCTGGACTGGAAGTCGATGGTTTCCAGGAAGAAATAACTGAAAAAATGAGCCATCTGACTTTTTGATTTCTATACCTATCATCTCCCACTAGTGCCCCGCCAGCGTATACCGCAATGCGGTTACCATTTCATTATCATTAAATTGTTTTTTAGTCGTTAACAAAACTCACCTGACAGCAACAATTTTCCCAAACGACATCTCAACTTTCCTGAGCTGCGCGATGAAGATAGCGGCGACGGCCTCATACAATGCAGTGCCGTCCATGTTGATAGTCGCTCCGATGGGGATCACGAAGCGGGTGATGCGCGGATCCAGGCCCATGTCGTCACAGCAGCCGATCGTTATTGGCATAGTCGCTGAACTGAAATCAGTGACGTCACGGATTTTTATCTTCTATTTTCAACTATTACAATACTTCAGTAAAAAAAAATATTTTTATTAATTTGCTAATGGTGAATAATAATCACCGTGAGTAGTGTTAAGTTTGGATTTGACCAACTAGATTAGTACTACATAGAAGCCCTCATTCATGAGCGCGGTTCACGGTTGCAAATAACAAAATTAGCCGGGCAATTCTAATTTACTCTTAAATTAATTAAGATTGTGCTGGCTATATTTATACCGCCATGTGGTCCCGGCATACAATTGGCCACCCATTCATTTCCTTCATTTAAGAGATGACTAAGGGAATTTAATGGTCGAGGGATGGGCAGCAGCGTCCCTCTTAAACCGTCACCAAAATCTAACTGCGATTGCCAACCTATCTGCCAAGCGTGGTGACTATGGCAAAACTCCCCATTAGCGGAAGTCTATATTCGGCAAAGGACAATTAACGGCTTTTATGGTATGGTATGGATATATTTAATTGAATTTTAGCGGAAGTCCATATCACTGTAATTATTTGATTATTATATATTTCAAACCGAAGGTTTTTAAATTGTAGATTTGGCTTAATATAAGTCCAAGGACATTCTAAATAATTGAATTATAAATACTACATGAAAATATAAATATCTTTAGAATTATATCTATTTAATTGACATCCGAAACAGAAGACATATACCTCGAAGCGGTTCCAAACGCCGTAGCCATCACTTGTCCCATTTTGGCCAAGTAACGGCACGGCAGCTTCTTTGTAGCTAGTATGAAGAGGATACTCAGAGTACCGAAACCATGGAGGAACAAGCCAAGGAGGACAGTCATGAAGTACAATCCTAGTCGTCCAACCAGCTCCGAGAACGACTCAATCTCCATGATCTTCGCTGTGACTAGGAAGAAAACGCCCAGCGGGGACAACCTGAAATAATGAAACAATGCTAATATTAATCTTGTTTTTTTATACTACTAATATTTTTTTATGGGTGATAATGGAATGGTAACTCTGTCTTTATTATCAATAGTAAAACAATGAAAGTTGAGGATGAAATAGGTCATAAAGATTTAACCAAAATTATATCCAGGGGGAACCGCGTAGTTTTCGACCTTGTAGGGATATACTCTATATTGCTAGCAATGGGGCTGTTAAATCCCCATTACAAACAATCCCTTTCTCCCCCTCTAAAATACTACTAGTAGTTACAAAACAAAACAAATTACTACGTTATTTACCACTAATAACAGACAATCTGACAGCAAGAGGGAGGAGGTAGTAACTGGACTAGCGACCCTATAACTGACAATGCTTTTTAATGAATCAGTGAAAACGGAATATTAATCCTGCCTGCGCTTTTGGTTTACTCAGTCAGGGTATCAGTCAGATTTGATAGGTGAAGATAAAGCTGGGTCATTAAGCTCGCCGTTATAAATTTATCATTAAATTAATTTCAATGATTCCCAGGAAGTACCGCATCAGGAGGTTGACCTGAGTAAACTATTATATTACTAACAATTATGCATGTAGGTATATATTATAATTATCTAAAGTAAGACGTTTGCCGTATCGGTCCCGGCATAGAATAAGCCACCCCTTCCTTTCCCGTGGGTCGTAAGAGGCGACTAAGATAGGGCGAGGGATAGGCAACAGCGTCCCTCTTTAAACATCTCCAAATCCTAACTGCAGTTGCCAATCAATCAAAGTGGCAACTACTGGCAAAACCAAGGGAGAGGTTGATGTTCAGCAGTGGAAAGTTATAGGCTGATATCATGAAAGTAAGGCATATTCACTTCTCATAAAAGACTGACAATAGCAAAATTACACAGGCTAATTTAATATTAATCTATGGTCACGCAAAGGACACAGGTTAATTAATTGAACTCTGACTTCACATTTTGTTACTTTCCTCGTTCCTTTATTTGACCTTTGTAGGAATTTATCATTGTTCATATTTTTTTTTTTGTAAAACAAACATATTACTAAAAATACGAGATCAAATACTTGACTTAATGTAGGAAACTCAATTATTTTTTTGTTTTTGATTCATGAAATTTCTGTTCTAATGTATTTTATAGCATAAGTTAATTCTTAGTTTTACGTACTAATTTGATTTTAACTTGAATATGGTACACTGAGGGACATAGTCTTCATTTTATCCCAATTATGTAGATATATTCACAGGAACAGTTAAGTAAAAAAATTATACATATATATGCAGACTACGGTAACCGTTTATTACCAATACTTGTATGTGTGCAGTAATATAAAAAAATAGTAATAATAACATTTTACACTTACCAAATGACCCATCCAGTAATAATCATCATAGCTTCAGACAGGGAATGGAAGAAATTCTGCAGCGGGCGACTCTGCTCGCCCATTTTGCCGAGCGTGATACCCAGCACTATGCTGAAGCACACCAGCCCCAACACGTTGCTGCCGCTCTGGTAGTCACCCTCGATCTTGTATGTCTCTAAGTTACCTGCAATACCATAAACATATTTGTAGAACTTAATCATGCTTGATATTTAATTAATGGTAGTGGTAGGCTCGCCCTCTGCCAGGCTGGATATAAGAATATGAACTCTGGCGAAATGTAGCGTTGTCGAATTTTATATGCACCATAATATAACGACCACAGTCGACAAATGCCTTTGATTAGCCCATTGGGTCTTTTATATGATTGTGAATATAATTATTAATTTTTTATATTTAATATAAACATACATATAATGCCATTTTCCTTTTCTCTTAGAAATTTATAAAAATACTATAATATTTTAAATTTTACTCTGTGCGCTGTAGTTTGGTGTAAATAACAGTTAACATTTTGACACTGGTGGAAAAGGAATTGTTGGTAATGCAGTCCGCATTGCTAACAATATACCTTATCAGATCGACCTCCACGTGGTCCCCTCTGGAAATCGTCGTGCTGAATTCCAAATGTATTCATCACGATGAGCTAACAGACCTGTCTTTTTCATTCTCACCTATCATCCTTCACTGATGCCCTGCTAGCGGATATCGTTAGCACAGGCGGGATTGCTATTCCATTATCTTAATAGTATAATAAGATGTTTACAGTAGAAGTCATAGTCATTAGTAATATTTTCATATAACACAAATGTTTTGATGAAATTCTATAAGTTACTTATTTACTTTCTCTATCTATCACTTGCACCATGCTATAACGCGCATTATGATAATTATTTGTCTACGAACAAAATAATATTATAAATTTAGAGTAAATAGATATATATATAATCTAAAATATCTGATTATTCAAATTATTGATATATTCAAATATTATTGTAACCTTTAATCGCTCTGGGGTCTTTGCTGTCGTACACCAACCTAGTTCTGTATGTTGCGATCGTGGCCTGAACGATGTTCTCCGGGAACACATTTCTGAAATTAACAACAACTATTATTATTAAAATAATATAAGAAAATCATAACAAAATAATTATTGACCAATAGAAATATTTCGAAGGAAACGGGATCAGATTCAGTATTTTCAATGGCATACCGGAGCTTTTTTCTAAATTTCATTACGAGAGTAAGAGACTGATTTTTACATTCATAAAAAATAGTAAAGATTTACTTTAAAAAAAAAATTACAATACTCGTATTTCTGTGTACTTTCTATACACAGTAAAATAATATATCATGTCCAAAAATAATAATGTAGGGATTATGGTAACTTAATGATTTATGAAAAGAACTCGGAAACTCGGAAAGATAAAGCGAAAAAGGAAATTACTTGTGTGCCCCAATTTAAAAACTGATCCTCCTATAATGTAACTAATACCTACTTATTTATTCAAATACGCATAATATCGCAACACACACATAGGCTACTTTTTATGTTAATAAGTTATAATGCCCCGGTTTCACGGGTGAAGTAGCGAGTAAAAACAAGTATTATATAACAATTAAAAGCATCATATAAATAATTAACTAACTCAGGTCATGAAATTGTTAATAAAAACTACTCATATTATCCCAAATTGAATGGTGTTTTAACAGTATTCTTGTAGGTCCTACTTAACCTTACTTAACTTACCTGGTTTTATCAAATGTCTACGTAAGAGTATATGTTATATTATATGTGACGGGGAAATTAATGAACTCACTGTGTTTTTACCGTTTCCGATATATTTTTTTAAACTTATGTTCATTTTTAAGATAATCATTTTAAACATTTATCTCTTTAGATACAATATTCTAGAACCATCAGAGATACTCGTAATTTGTATAAGAATTGGTAGAAAAAAAGTATATTCAATTCAAATAAAGTTCTGCATACCCATGAACTGAAATAAAAATTATAACAAATAGATGATTTTTTGGAACATACGTTCTATATAGATTCAGAACTGTCACATACACATGTTTACAAACAAATGAAACTATTTTCTTGGCTCGTTTTTATGATTGCATTATCAGTCTGTTAGTACATGAGTGTTTTTTTAGTGGGTGAAAATGGAATGGTATCGGTATACACAGGTGAGGCACCAGTGAGAGATGATGGGTGAAGATAGGTGGGGTCAGGTCCGTTGGCCCATCGTGACGAATTCCATAAGAAATAATCCACAAGGGTTTCCAAGGAGAACCGCATGGAGGTCGACCTAATAGGATATATTGCTAGCAATGGGGCTGTTACACCCCATTACCAACAATCCCTTTCCCCCTACTACATGAGTATATTATACTACTTATACATCATAGACGCTATCTAGAAATGATCTACTTAATAAGTTTTCTTTCTTCCGCGCGTTCAAAGTCATGGGCAAAAGCTAGTAAATAATCCTCGTTCCTCTGCTAATTCGCCAAATGGAGGCCGAATGTTTTGAATAGGATTTAGCCGCTAGTACTTAGGTAAGTAAAGCGACCCCGATTAGCCAGTGAATGATTGAAGGCCAGCTGCTTCCGTTCCTATTGTATTTTTCCAATTCAATAAGATTATCACACGTGTCAGTCGCATCGAAAAATGTCATATATTATATCATAATATACTCGTACACACATATATATATATATATATATATATATATATATATATATATATATATATATATATATATATGTGTGTGTTTCATTATCGATTTTGAAATAATTTTTATATAATATTTATGTTTTAGCGATTATAATGCTCGCGGAAGACAGAAGCACTCATTACACGCATATGGATATAGTGAAAAATTATTTGTGGGAGATTTTAAAGCCTTATTTATAAAAAAAAAATCTCACACTTATAAATCATTTAAAATAAATAATTAGCCCTAAAGACTATGTTAAATTGATTAAATATTACATTATTCTTTATTTCCCGTATTTCAACCTTCACAGACTTTCCGTTCGAAAAAGATATGAACTATTCTACAAATATAAGGAATTAAGACAATGTGTATTTGTGAAAAGCTTATAATGCTTCGTCGATCCGTTAATAAGATTCCGTAAAATACATTCTTCAAATCAAATGAATTATTATCAAAAGAACTCTTCGTTATCACCGCATCTTACTATTATTTCTTTGTATCAATTTATAAGCGGCCCCTACACGTAACCTGTCATGGTACCTTTTTAATATAAAGATTTTATACTTAGAACTTAAAGAGATCCTTTAAAAAAGCTCAATTACAGATTATATTTAATGTCTCACTTCTTAACTTTTTCTTAACGTTGCATCCTCTTAGATCTTCTTGTAAATAATTGGACTTAAGCTAGGATAGTAGTGTTACTGTGACTAATTTTATATAAAAAAATAAACATAATGATTTCGTTTTAAGTATTTAACTGCAAAAATAACTACATAATTATAAAAGGACTGTGTATTTCTTATAGAAAGCACCAGTCTGCTAAATTATGATCTTACAGAATAGGTAATTTTAAAAGTTTTGTGACATTTTAGAAAGTGATCCTCCATTAAGATCTGTCTGATGCAAAGATTTCCTAATAAATCGAGTTAGCGACCCGAAGCAAAAAACTGCCAAGGAGACTCAGGATATTTATTGTCAATTTAGGGCTGACACACAAAAATAATGCTACGTTGTTAAAATGAACCGATTTTTGGCGATGCGTCATCGATTGCTTTTATCTTTTGTTCTATCCCCTTTCCGAACTCGTCTCAAGCAATTATTGGTAAATCGATTAGAATTATTTTGTTTGATTCCACTGCCATTAGTATGTGTACAACTTCCAACATTTAAAGATTGACTACTATTATTGTCTGTAGAAGTTTTACGACCTTCCATATAAGTGACCAATCTTCGAACATTATTCAGTCCAAGCACATTTTGCGACGCGTGTTTCGCCCTAAAAGAGGCGTCTTTAGGAAAATAATAATAGATCGCTGCTCGGACCGAAGTGTTGATCATTCGACGTCCAAACTGCGAATCGCGCCCGATCAAGAATCAAGCAATTATGCCAACACTGGCATCCGGCTCTCAAGTATTTAACAAAACCTGACCCATAAAATTTTGAAGAAACTTGAGGAAGGATTTAAAATTCACCAGAATGGTTAATCTTGTAAATTCTGATTGTGATTTGTAAATACAATAGGTTTTTTTTATAGGGTGATAATGGAATAGTAACCCCGCCTGCGCTATCGGGATACGCTGGCGGGATACCAGTGAGAGATGATAGGTGAGGATGACAAGGCAGGTCAGTTAGCCCATCGTGACGAATTCCATTAGAATTAACTACGGCGGTTTCCAGAGAAACCGCGTGGAGGTCGACCCGGTATAGTGTATTACTAGCTTTGGGTCAATTAGACCCCATTACTAACAATCCCTTCCCCCCTAAATACAATAAGTTAGGTCTAGGTAAAGAGTAAGTAACAGCATGAGTAGTTCTTCCGTTCAATAAAATTATTCACTAATATCATATAATTAATGTAAATTTTATTATGTTATTATTATTAATATATTTAATATATGTAAATATTAATTTGAAATTCCAAGAAAATTACATTTATTGACAAGTTAAATCATTTTTACCTATGTATTTATTATATAAATGATAAAAGTGCCCAGTGAGGCTCGAAACAATAGAACATACATAAAAATGTCATGGTAATGGATTTTTGTCCCATAATTACAGACTAATATATGTTCAAAGTACGCTGCCAAAAATGATTTCAAGTGACGTATACACCTGGCATTTTATTCTGCGCCAATCTACCGCACCGCATTTTATTGGATTGATCTTTTACCTAGGGTTGACAATTATAACTTTATTCATGTGACAAATTTCTATCCGTAATAAATATCTTCCACAAGAATTTGCTCTATTTATCCCAAAGAACCTTTCTATATATACTTTTACTTCGTTTCTTCAATCATTCGTCAGAATTCTTATAATACTAATTGATACTGACAAAACCACGATATATTGTTAGTTATCCTATTATAATAATATTTATGTTTGTAAAGCTATTATTTTATTTATCTTACATAATACTGCACACTTTTAAAAGAAATTTGGTACGCTGATGGACCATAACACTTGAATTTACATAATTTTTACATTTTAACATAATTCATGCGGAAAAAATCGTAGGTTACATTAGCAATTGCTAAAACCAAAATAGTCTAAAATAAATATAAAACAATACTTTTATATATTACTCCTAAGAAAAATCCTTATGGACAACCCTGATTGTAAGTATCTAGGGCGCTATATAAATAGCGCGCTGATGAAGACTGACGAGCAGGGAACCGCCACCCGTGTCACTTCACTATGCAATTGACAATTACGCTGGTAACGTCTTGTTTCACGAATACATTGCTTTATCACAGTGAGAGTTAGTAGTTAGGTATGCAAGTGAAACCGTAATGTATTTCATTCGTTATCAAACGGAAAATAATATCGAGTGTCAGTACAATGCAATTATAGCGAGGTGTTAGAATGTGCAATGAATTGAACGCAATTGTCGATTAAGAGTGTCATGTAATACCGTAAAATTGTCATTGCTTGAATACGTAACGTCATTTAGCCAGGGGGAAGAGATTATGAGTAATGGAGATTAGTGACTGTATTACTAGCAGTGTACCTTGTCAGGTTGACCTTCACACGATCCCTCCGAAATAAATTCGTACAAAATACGTCACAATGGATCAACTGACCTGATTTCATCCTCTTTTATGGTCCCTTACTAGAAACTCCACCAGCATATTAAAAAGTTAAATATTAGTCACTTATATAAATATAAATCTATCTAAATAATTTAAAAATTTTATTAGCTACGTGCACCTTCTTTATAAGACAGCCATTTTTTTTTATTTATAGTAAATAAATTGTGCATTTTCATAATGTTCCTCCCGCCGTTTTTCCGCTAATTTTATTTGTTATCGTTTAATTAACAAACTTTCCACTTAATAGCTTTTTTTTTAGTATAATGGTAATTCATTCGCGGTATAATTAAATTACTTTTATTGTTTAGTTCTATCGTAACTTATTTTTACGGTAGTCTACGTAACAAAATGTATCTTTACTTTTGTGTTAGTTGAGGGGCAACGATCTAAAAATCTAAGATGTTTCTAAATAATATATTTTGTTAAATTCTAATCTGTTATAAATCTATGTATTAAAATTGAAGATCAGACCATCAGGTCATAGATCAAGCACACATTCAATTTGCTACTGTTCAATTGAAAGTCAAATGTGCATATATTATTTTAATACATAATGACACATTTACCCTGACTGATTTATCAACGCACAACAGAAAAACCATCCATTCACCAAGAACAAATTTTCAAAAAGTTTTCTAAAGATAATAATATGTACAAAAATGCATATTTTACATTAATTTTACATTAAGTTGTCACCATAATTAATATATTGTATACTTATCCTAATTATGGAATTAATATTATAAAATCATAAATAATTTATTCAACAACTGATGGCCTGACTGATAGGAAGTGGTAACCGCCACTTATAGAAATCACAGTATCCCATGGTACATTGTGATGTCTATTGTATACTCATGCAATCCTGAGGCCTAAGAAATTAAATAAACGTACGCGTACAAAATCTTTTTAGAATTGTCCGGTTGACAAAGGTATTGATTAACCAAATTAATGTAACCTATGCACTTCTCTATGCCAAATAAATACGTGAATGCCAAACTTCATGATGATTAGTTGTGCCGTTATGGCGCCAAAAACTTATAAACAAACGTATTCACTTTTACCGCAGTTATGCAACTTATTTACTTTTTAATACTTTAACAATTATTTATTTATCTCTTTTTTGTATCAAAAATAAAAATATACAGTGATTATTAGAAAATTCAAGTGAAATACAATAGCATAGGTTCCCCCTGGAAACTATCATGGTTAATTCCTGATGAATTCATCATGATGGGCTAACTGGCCTGTTTTCATTCTCATCGATCACCCTTCACTGGTGCTCCGCCAGCGCATACCGTTAGCGCAGACGGGGTCACCATTCTATTTTCACCCATCAAAAAAAAATACAGTAGCATAAAGTACACATCAAAATTTAGACATAGAAGTACAAAAGGCGATCTTATCGTTATGGCAATCTTTTACAGACAATCTTTGGTTAAAGCATATTGTAGTCTGTTTTTTTATTTAATACGGTTAATATTGTCTAACGTGATAGAGATTTTGCTTAAATATCTACAGTAGATAGAAAACCAAAAATAGTTAAACCTAATATTTATATAAAAAATTTAACACATTGTCTAAAAAAAAATAAAAATAGCTGATAGATCTAAAAATATGTGTTGGACATTTTGCATGAAATTCTATAATCCTACATTGTGTTTATATAAAATTGCAGCGGTTCATTGGCTTAATTCCACTAATAAGTGTTGCATTGCAGTTTAATTTCGCCATCCGGCTTCCATAATGTCGAAATAGGTTATTTCATGTTTCACAAATGCACAAATGCACCGAATTCAATTAATTTGAAAATTATATTATTATTATTAGCTCAAGAATAAATTTGTTTATTGCCAATATCTTCTGCCTCACTATTTTTACATCAAATTCAATCGTGTAATTGAATTATTCCGTAAAGTTGACTTCAGTATAGAAATACAAGATTGCAATTAGTAGAACAATTAGTAGGACATTGAAATTTACGTAAAAATCAAATCATTTGTAGAGTGAAACGAAGGTGTCAAAGAGTCCTTAGAACACACATCACATATGAATTGATTATTTTTTTTATAATACTTAAAATGACAAAAAGCTGATAACTTACCTGATAGAATATGGTATCCGACACCTATATACATGGATTATACAATATATAATTATATATACATGTATATATATATATAACTATATAATCCAAGTGAATAAAACAAGATATATTATCTAGGGGTAAAGCTCTTGGATTTTCTGCTCATATCTACGTCAAAACTAGTATTACCTGATCTTAATAATAATAAAAATGATAAATAAATTCAATAAATTTAATGAAATAAATATGGATGTATAGAAAAAAATATTACACCTTATGAGATCCAATAAAGTGTCGGACGTGAGCGTGTCTTTGGTGACAATCTTGGTGGTGGTGGTGTTTGACTGCTTGAACGCCTCAGGGTCTTTACCAGGCTTGATTGTTGTCACTAACGCGATACCAAGCATAACCGCGCATATCGTCGTCGTCATGTAGTACAAGATGGCACGAAGACCAACCCTGGAGAAAGAAATATTGGTTAATAGGTTTATATTTTATTTTCGACTTTTATGTTTAATTTTTTTCTTTAATTTAATGAAGAATTTAATGTTAATAAATTTAATAAAGTTCCAATAATTTCATGAGTTAAATGAAAATTATGGTGAAACAAATTCTGAATGTAATCACAGAAGAGGGCCTATCTTTTCTTTTTAGATGATAATGTAATGGTAACCTCATCTGCGCTGTCGGTATACACTGGTGGTGTACCAATGATAGATAAAGTTGAAGCAAGTCAGCTCTATCGTGACAAATTCTTAAGAATTAATCATAATGGTTTCGAAAGGGAATCGCGTGGGGTTCGACCTAACCTAGCATATTATTAGTAATGAAACAGCTAGTTTCCTTTACTAATAATCCTTTCTCTCTCTCAAAAAGGTATCATGCTGGCAAGTAAAAATCTTTAACAGCCAGAATCCTAGCCTTATAATCTAAAGCTGGACTTAAATTTTGGCCAACACATTTCCATCGCAATTCATTGGAACAATACCGCCAGATTCCGGCAATTGTTACACTAAAAAAAGACATTAGATCCTAATACAATAAACAATTATGCATTAAATTATCGCAATATTATTACTATTGACGTTAAAAAAATCAACTTACTTGCCAGAAAGACTAAGATCTAATGATCCAATCGCCGACACAATCGATGAGACTAGCAACGGCACTATTAAGCACTTAAGCATCCTCAGGAAAAGCTCCCCGGGGTACTGGAAGTACATGACCTCCCGCCGAGACCATTCGTAACCGGAGACCCTCAGACCCCAGCCCAGCAGCGTCCCAGCCACTACACCGATGACGGTCATGAGTGTAAGAAGGTTCTCCCGCACAAAGGCAGGACACCCATTTCGCCGGATTTGAAGAGGCATGTTTGGGCCGCCGTCGTTTCTGCAAAATATAATGTCGATTAAATATAAATTAGGTATGGGCGCTCTTTGGTGTAAAAATTTTTACTTTGCTATACACAAAGGTCTATGACGCGGCTTGCTGGAAGATGATGGCTTTACTCTCTACAGTAGCACCCAAACCGCAAACTTTAAATGATCCAAACTAAATTGAAGATTTGGTCTGGAATCTGATTTTGAGATTCTCAAACCGCTATCAAGCAACCATAGTTAATTATTGTTACTTTCACTAATACTGTAAATATGAAAGATAATAAATAAAGATTTTGAATCTCTATATACATTTCGAATGTTTAGATTAGTTTTAGATAAATCTCCCAACGAACCTAGAAGCCTCTGTTTTTTCTCTTTATATAAATTAAAAATAAATAAACCAAAATTGTATTGACCTAATTATAATAAACTAATAAAGAATGCAATGTGTTGTCTCGACAACGGCACCGCGACTCTTGTCTGGTTAATATTAGGTAGTTCGAGTGGCACTTGGCAGACGCTAAATACTATTGTAATCTTCGTGTGACCGCGTGACTTTCTAGCTCATTGATATAACGTGCTTTGTTTTTGTGAAGACATTTGCATTTTTCGTTTACTTCTTTATTATAGACGCCTATTTAGCGAAACCCATAATTTGATACCATAAAAGAAGATATATTTTAGTTACTATTGTAAATATTTTAAATAGTATTCTATTTAAAATTTAAAAAGGAGGAGAAAAGTTAAATATAAAAGTGTATGGATAGTAAAAGAAGTCGACAATCGAAGAAAAGGTAGATGGACTATGTGAAAGTTATATTCATAAAAGAGAAGTGAACTGAAATATGACTTATTTTGATGATAGGTCTTCTTCTTCCACAAATTTTTAGACCTATGCATTTGGAGTACATACTGCGCTGACCATAAATAAATGGGAAAAGGAAAGGGAATTATTACTGTGGTAACCATTAAATACTAGGTTTCCTATCTAACTATACCACACCTTATAATTGTTTCATACATATATACATACACATCTGTCTCGTCTTATAAATGTTTCATTTTCACCGATATCACTAAGGAACGAGTTCTACTTAATTGGACAGTATTTTAGTATATGTTACGCGATAGTTTAGCCAACTTTGTACAAATTTCGATTATTGCTTTTGAAATCGACAGGTTTTGCCTACTTCCGTGTTGATACCATTCTAATTTTGTTACGATATTTTTTTTTATTTTTGAATAAACCTTTCAATGGTATTTGATATTGCGTTTACACATATATTGTTTTACATATATTATAAAATATATTAACTTCGATTTTATGAATAAAGATTATGTCATATTATTATTCTAAAAACAAAAGTTTGTAAAGATGGATGAATGGATATTACTCTTTCATGCAAAAACTATTGAATGGATCTAAATAAAATTTGGAACAGGATAGATTATATCCTAACTTAACACATAGATTACTTTATGTACTAATTCACATGAGCCAATCAATCAAAGCCATGGAATATAGCTAGTATAATGTAATTTGTGGATATGGAATCTTAATTATGTTATAGTAAAAGTAAGTTAGAGTGTTGGGAGGAAGATTAGGCGTTATTAGGTTTGGCCTATGGTCCCGGTATAGAATAGGCCACTTTCTTTCCCGTGAATGCTGTAAAAGCCGTCTAAGTGAGAGCGAGGGATGGGCAGCAGCGTTCCTCTTAAAACATCTCTAAAGCCAGACTATGGTTACCAATCCGCATGCCAAGCGTGGTAACTACTAGCAAATCCTCCAAAGGGAAGGCTTATGTTCAGTAGTCGACAGTTAAAAAGCTGATATGATGATGAAAAGTATGTTGTTGTTCTGCAATTTAATGTTCTCTTCGAGTTACTCATTTGACCTCGCAGGTTGTGTTATGAGCATATCTACGAGTAACAATATAACCACAGGAAAAGAATTAAACTATTTAGGTTACAAATACAATGAACGATCTCTGGCAGATCTCTCGATTCAATGTCAGTTTCATTTACAACATACTGAATCCTATATAGAATTGGTAATGAATGTGCATTAAGATGAAAATTAAGTTTACAAACAGCATTTAAGATCTTGTAACCAGAGGAAGACTTTGTACAATAGTCGTTAGCTTGGGCACCTCTGTCCTATTCGTATTTCTACCGTAAAGCAGTTGTGTTTGCATGGCTGTGTTTCGGTTTGAAGGGATATGTCAGTGAATTTACAGAGTACATAAGAATAACACGTTATAAGTATTATGGACGAAACAGTATACTCTGTCATGTCCATGGTACTGCTCATGTCTTTAGGCGACGGTTACCACTTTCTATCTGGTAGACCGTCAGCTTGTTTGTCATTCTAAGTTGCATAGAAAAAAAGGTTATATTAATTTTGTCACTATTTATGACGTGGTTTAAATTGGAGCAAACAAACATAAATAATATCAATTCACTCTAGCTCCGAAAGACGATAAGTAATGAAAAGAGTAGCAGACGCCTTAAAAAAATTAATTCCCTGTTGTTCCAATAATAGAGAAAGAAGCAAAGCTCTTAGTGCAAATAAAAGGAATAGTCACCATATAGGGATGTAATCACTCCTGTTGCCATATTATTCGATAGGCGAAGCAGAAGAAATAGAAAAAGAAGGATTTTTTTAAACAACAAATTCTTATATTAGATATAACATATGAATTTGAGTACATCTGTCAATTGCCTAGTACAGATGTCGCCGGGAATGTAACACCTAACGCCTGAATATATATGTGCCGTGATCCTTTATTGAAAGTTTTTTTGCTAACAGGCGTGGCGATAACATTTGTATATGCGTGTAATGCGCCTGCGCACGTGGGATCAGGCCACGGACTGGTGGAGCCCCCGCGCGGATGTTGCCGCGGAAATCTTTATTTAGTGGTATCGCGATCAATCCGCGACTCCCCTCTGTCGCTCACACGCACTAACTGGCTAACTACACGTACAATGATACCTGTATCTTAGAATGAATTTGAAGTAATTATGTTCGAAGTGTCCGTTATTTTTAAACATAATAAATTACTTATTTATTAAAAAAAACAATGTACATTGTATCTGAAATTATGGATGATTTTACAAATTCATTGACAAAGAATGTTATTTCTATTTAATATTTAACCAATTGAAAAAGGTGTACTCATTTTTTTATATATTACGCGATATTTTCATCAGCTCTACGTAATGATTCTTTCTTTACATGGAAGGGTTGACTCCCGTTCGTATCAAATTGTCAAGACTGAACTAAATTATTTTTCATATAGAAAGTACATACGAATATAAAAATTATATTTTTATTAAGCGACCTGACAAACGTTGCTTTAACCCCTACATCTACCTGCCCGATTCATAGTTTCTTATCAGGATAAAAACTATCCTAACTCTTAAAGGAGACTTATAAAATTTAATTAAAATCGGTTGAGCTGCTTTGGAGGTTAAAGTTTTATATATTATTAATTTATTATTATATTATTATTATTATCTTCATCTTATTTACTTCAATGTAGATGGCAACATTGACAAATTAAATTAAAATTAGCATAACAAATTCAATTGGATGAGTTACAAGTTTATAATTATTTATATCGACTTTAGCCATATAATTAACTTCGTGGTTACCCGATTGAATTTGGACTCGATGAAGAAGGGGAGCTAATAGAGACAGGAGCACAAACATTAATTTTGCCATGCATCGAGATAAGCTGTCGCCAAAGGTCAAACTCCTTCATACAGACAAATATTCCCACGATTATATTATTTGTTTATGCAATTTAAAAGGGAAAACATATTTACAAAATATTAAAAATCTCTTACTTGCATCTTAATTTATTTTATGTTTTTTGTTTTCTTTTATTTATTTAAATTTGCCGTGTAATTTTGGAATAGAATGGACCACCCCCTCTCTTTCCATAGGTGTCGTAAGAGGCGACTAAGCGAATTCAATGTTCGAAGGATATGTAACAATGCCCATCTAAAAACATTACCAAAAGCTAACTGCGGTTGTTATCTACCTGCCAAGTGTGGTAACTAGTAGTTATCCTTTACGGACAAACCTCCCTTTATGGGAGAGGCCTATGTTCAATAGTGGACAATAAATCACTGTTATGAAGATGAACGAATGAATGAATATGTAAAAATCCCGTGTCACGATTCACAATGTTCGTTCACGCTAACCTTCGACACTGTCCACCTGGTTTAATGAAATTTTATAAATGTATAATGTTTGCTCTAACTTAAGAGGCACGATAGTTTTTACTGTAATAAGTGAAGTCAACATTCATTATAAGGCAAAATGACTGTTACCATGTAAATAAATGGAAATATATTAATTTTAAAGATGTTTTACATTAATTGGAGAAAATAATTATGCTGAGTTACAGCATACGGTAGAATCAATATATTTCTACAGAAAGCATATGTATTTTAGCTATGCAATAGTTAGTGATACTCATATTACACGGTGGCAGCTTATCCGTGCTTACCCTGATTCCCGTCTTTCATGAAGCACACAAAGAGTGGAGTTGGCAATCGACCCATATCCTAAGAGATTACATCTAATAACGCATCGCATCTCTATTGAGCGAGCTTTTATAAAGCTTATACGACTTTTAATACCTATTGACAATCATTTATATTTTATTTTTTGGGTCAATGTACTACACTAAAAAATTATCTATTATAGTTAGGTAGCCTTGAATTAATTAAAAAAAATTGGTTTGTAATCCTAAATGTTTAATATTTTTTATGCAATGTAAAATGGCAAACAAACTTACGACCCATCTAATGATAAGTGGTAACCATCGTCTATAAATATGAACAATAACATAAATATAATGGAGTATTCTGTGTCGCCCATGATATTCCCATGCGTTACAATTTCGAAAGACTAAGGCATTATGCCTCTGTACCCTGTAAATTCACTGCCATATCCCAGCCTTCAAACCGCAACACAGCTATGCAAACACAACTGTTTCA